CACACTCCCTCCATGGAGCAGCAGCAGGAAGGGGTGCTGGTGCCTGGCTCTGGACAGCGCAGCAAGGAGCGCAGCCCATGCCGGGCTGTCTGTATCACCGGTGCTCCCTGCACTCAAGCAACAGGGAGGGAAGCTCCAGGCGCTGGAGCCAGCTGCCTTCCCTGCCCCGGGAGCTGCCACTGACCAGTCCCTTCCCCCCACGAGGGTGGGAGTGAGGGTGGGAGCGAGGTGCAACAGGGTAAGTTGGGGGATGTACACATGGGCATCTCGCTCCCACCCTCGGGTAAAAGGGCTGGGCAGGGCACAATTCCTTGGTGGGTGTCTCTTGTTCTCTGATTGCCGAACAGCTCAAGAGTTCACCTGATGTCCCTCCATAAGGGACATTTGCAGCTGGGAATTTCAGGGAGAAAAAATGTTAAATTTAGATTTGTGTTGAAATGTCCCATAACGGGGGGAAATGTTCTACCCAGTTCTACTGGGAAGTCTTTGCTACAGTGATGTAAAATGATGTGTCCCCCCAGCCACATTAATGTTTGGGGTCTTCTGACCTGTGCAGTCTGAATGCCCACAAGGAGAAAGCGTGTCCCCCCTTGGAGCTTTCTTGGTGGCTGGCGTGGCTCACACCAATCAGCAGAGAACTGGCCATCATCCCCACACAAAGGAGCCCATGGACACAGCTGTTCATGGTGTCACATTCTTCCCTCGTGCTGCCTGCTGCTTTCTGGGCTTGTGGCAAGTTGCTGGCTGAAACACCAGGTCCACATATATGAGTCCATCCTGCTGGCAACATTTCATAGTATTGGAAAAGGAACCAGGCACCTGTGCAGGGGGGCTGATTCCCACAGACAGACCTAACGAGGCAGACAACAAGGGTTTGTAATAGGCCATACCTGATTCTCCTGGGAGATGCGAGCTGCTGGCTTCCTAGGCCGGGATCCTGAAATGGAGACAGTGGTCATAGCTCCTCTTCCACTGCCGTGTCCCCGTGTACACAGGGATGAGCACACGGATAAGTCCCCAGTGCAAAGGTTCATGCTCTGCATGAGCCACACACCCCAGCCTCAGGCTGTCTGTGGCGGGGGCCTGTCTACATCGCTCCCCGGGGGCAGAGCTCAGAGCCAAACTCCAGGCACAGGACAAGCCTTGGGGGCCTGTGACAGCTGAAGCCTGGTCGTCCCGTACAGGTGAGCCCACTGGTGATGCCAAGGGAGCGTCTGGGGACCACGCGCTGTTTCTTACCCCATCGGGGTGGGCAGTGGATCCAGATGAGACTCAGGGGCACCGTGAACAGCAGCAGGGCACTGCCCACTGCCACGACAGAGAGCATGACACAGCATGCAGAGGGAGCTACAAGGGAGAGACAAAAACCTTGCATCACTGCTCTTGCCCTGCTCCCTGTGTAGCAGTGGGCCCAGGGGCTGGAGGACCATAGAGAGCTGGGCTCTGTCCCTGGTGCTGCCACTCACCTGCTGCAAGTCAATACCCTCCCTGTGCCCCAGTTTTCACACCCAAAAAACAGTGCTGGTACTAACAGCCCTTGTAAAGCCCTGGGAGACCTGTAGATGGAAGCTGCAAACTGAGATCTGGGATTTCTTATATCCAATCCCCACTGCCCCGTCTGTCCTTAATGAGCTGCTTGCTGGAGAGTTCGCCTCACCCCACAGCCCCTCCATCCCTCGGAGTATCCAGCACCCTCCTATAAGTCCCCTCTCCCATGGATATTGTCATTTAACTAGTTGCAGAGGTCTCCAAGAAGGCTGCTACCTTGTCTCATGACCTGGGCACTGTTTTATGCCACCTTCCCCCAATTCCCTGCACATCTGCCTGCATGCAAGCATGATACAATCATCCAGCCACTGTCATGCATGCTAGAGGCATCAGTGACCGTGGGGCTTCAAATGTAGGTTAAGTCTTTGCCTCAAACAACCACTCACATGCAGAATAGACGGCATGTCTGGTGACGCTGCTGCCAGATGAGTTGAATGTGACCTCACAGGTGACGGTCGTCCCGCTGGCCCAGCTGGCCCAGGGGATGCTGATGTGATGGATGAGTGTTAAGGACCCATTACTGGCTTCCAGTGAGTGCAGCAGCCCCTGGGTTGGCTCCTTTCCGGTAACACCCCAGGACACCTGGACCAGGTTGGAGAAACCACGGATCACACAGGCCAGATGTGCAGAGTCTGTGGCTCCGTTCTCCCCTGCAACAGGGCCCAGGAGCAGCACGGAGCTGTCTTTGGTGAAGCTGTCTGGGCAGAAAGGAAGATGAGAGTTCATGGGCAGACAGAGCTGAGCTACAGCCTGGCCACAGCTGTGGGTCTGTCACCAAGAGATTAACAGAGCTACAAATCTACTGGGGAATAAGGAAATGTGCCATCTACTGCCGAACTGGAAGAGAGGAACCAACTCAAGGCACAGTCATCCTAGCCAGGAGAGAGCCAGGCAGCCTTCTCAGGGCAGCACTAGCAGCTTCTGGAGTTCACAATCTTCTCACCCGCCGTCACGGCTCCGGGGGGGGAAAAATTCCACACCCGGTGCAC